TAGGACTAATACTATGAATGGTGGTTAAGAAGAACTGCCATTCATAAAGATGGAAGATTGCCTTTATCTCATGTCATGGGTTCAGTCTAAAGACATCTCTTCAAGCTGGTATTTATATTGTTTGCTTTTCAAGAAGGAAAGTCTGTTATAAACCAAGCAGAAAGAGTTGAATATTTACTCTCCAGTTTTAATTCAGCTGCCGTTGATTTAACAGAACACACTGATTTCAATTAGAACACTATCAAGTCTAGTTTGACTCAAAGTTAAGAAATGGCTGGTTCTTCGGATGATACTGGGGAAAAATATTTGGGGACAGTAAGCAGTTTTGGAATGTGAGAATATGTCATGGCATTCTAACAAAATGGTTGTCTAGTCATTTTGTCTAGTCTAGGCATGGCTAGTTACAAGAAATCAGGCTCACCTTATTGTTTATCTCCCTTTGCTATAAAACCTCTCTGATACTGTTTTTGAAATGTGGGCAACTGGAAAGCAGCCAGGGAATTACATAATAATTGTGGTACTTGTCGTGTTTATTATTGCTCTCTTGCTAATGTCCAAAAAATCCTGACTGAATTTTTGCATTGCTATAATGCACTGCATGAATAGATATTTTAAGTTTGGGAACACAATTTCTAAGTGAGCACAGTGCCATCAAAATATGCTCACTAATATTAAATTATTTATTTATGAAAGCATTTATATTATATCAAATTCTGAGTAGCTCCCAATCAACAATGAAAACAATTTCAATAGTAAAACAACACATGAGAGAAATATTTTAAAGTAGATAGCAATCAGCTGGTTAAGTTAGCCACCATGATTCAGTGGGAATTCTGAGTGACCAATCCCAGTGTAGTATAAAAATAAATGTTCCATAGCTTCTGCTTTTTCTGAATCTACTTTTGCAATACTAAGTGTAGTTTTAACAATATACTACTAGTGCAAGGAAACAGACTGGCAGAGATCGTTTAGAACTACAATTATTAATCTTATGTTTAATATTATTGGTATGATATTCAATCAGCGACAGGCACAAATGGAGGAAATGTTATTCTTCTTTAGGGTACACTGCAGATTGGATTAACAATTTAAATGAACAGTTAAGCTTTTTTTTTTTAAATTAACATTTTTGAGTTGAAATTTAATTTAATATCTCTTATTATCTAATTCCAGATTTTCTGGGTGGTTCTATCCCATTTTGTTGTTGGGTTTCAATTAATTTATTTTATTTTTTAATTTTAAAATAAGATGAATATTTTCAGGATTGCTGACTGTTTCCAAAGGATCTGGGAACTTCTTCATAAAACTGGGTATGTGTAGTTTTTTTTAAAAAAATATTTTAATTGATATAGTAAAATATTGTTGCTTGTATTAGCAAAGGAAACAAAAAAAACCCCCAACAACTACATTGTAATAAGAACTGTTTCACTGAAGAAAATATAGATCTGATACCTTATTTTGAGAATGCTTTCATTAAAAAGATTTGGGTAATATAGCAGAGAATTGAAAGATTGTATTAACATAACCTATATTATTCTGAAGTCAATGCAAATGAGTTTCAGTTTATTGTTTGAAGCAATTACTTTGCAGTTGTATATTTTGTACGGAGGAGTGTAGAGTAACTGCACAAAGATTTCTTTTCAAACCAGTCCAAAAATAAGCATTGATTTAATAGTATATGATTGTAACTGAATGGTTGCCTTGCAGTTGTATTTCTGTTTCACCAGCTGATTACAAACAATTTTGCTAAGAGCTTATGGTGGCCAATGCATGCAATAGTATTATTTTTAACTGGGTAAGATATTGGGCTAGAAGCAAGGAGACCCAAGTTCTAATCCAATTCAGCTATGGAAGCTCACTGGGTGACTTTGGGCTCCTCATTTATTTATTTTTTTGCCTGACCTACGAGTTGTTGTAAGGAAAAGTATGGGAAGAAACACTCCCATTGCCTAGAGCTCCAGAATTAAAGGTGGGAAACATAGAATTTTTCTTCAAACTTGAATGTGTATGTTTCTACATATAGAGAGATATGTGTGTGTGTGTAAATGAAATATGTGTATATATGTGTGTAAAATAGCAATTGAAACTTCTTTATCCATTACTGACACAGGTTGGGAATCTGGACGTACATTTGGGATGTTAAGTTCCTAAAGATACAAGAATTCATGCTGGATATCTGGCTTGCTTATTCCATACCATTACCATCCAGCCACAGCCAACTCTTATCCTTATGTGCAATCTGCTCCTGCATTGCAGCATCTGTTGGGGGCCTCTTCTACTGCTGGATGTTTTCCTCTCTGCAATATCCCTTCCAGTTTTCTGTCTTGGCATCCTCTGTCCTTGGTTTCCTCATGTTCTTAATCCTCTTTTTGGTGCATCCAGTCCGGTGCCTGTTTACTATAATTGTGCCTACCTTAGGGACCAGACAAGGAAGAAGGCTGCTAATGTCTGCCTGCTTTATGATTGTAGCTGTCAACATTATCCCAAATATTATGAACAATATCCAAGCAATCTTGAAAATCATTAAATGCACCTGCAAGAATTCCATGGAAAGCCTTGTGGCCTCAATGCTCCTGTTGGGTAATGCTTCGTGGGACTTCAGCCATTCTCTCAAAATCATAAATGACCACGTGCCAGTTAATTTGCTGAGATCAAGAGATAGCCATGTTCAATTTAGAAATCACAGTAATATCTTCCAACTAAATGAGAAAATGGTTAACGCTAGCCAAAGTATCAAGGAAGACTTTTTATATGCTGATAAGCTGGTCCAGAAGGTCATACTTTTAACCAACCGGGTGACGGCTGGCTTCTTTCTCTTCTTTCTCCTTTTTCAAGCGACATGGTACCTGAAGAACTATCTTACAGATGTTTGTTTTGATAATATTTACATTACCCCAAAGCTGGAAGATTTGGCTCGGGAAAACAAAACAGCAGATTTGCTGATTGGCACATCCAGGAAGTTAATCAAACCAAGCAGCTTCAAATTGTCCCAAAAAGAACTCAAGGCTTCTCTCAGACATGTTTTTCTTCTCACATTAGTTCTAGTGGTGATGCTGCTTGTCATAGCAACTGACTACATTGCCTTTCATTTGGCACAAACAGCTGTAATTGAAGTCACTCAGATCCCTGTTGTCCCAGTTACATTCTGGGTAAAATATGAAGTGAGTACTGAAGTCTCTAGTTTGGGCTTAAGTTGGTCTCTTTCAGCCTGGAACTTTTCAGATGTGTTGGGGCTGCAAACTCCAGGATTTCAAATAGAGGCATGAAATGGCATTTGCCAATGCATGTCAAATGAATGTATCTGGATTCACTATGGAATTTTAATATTGTAGACAACAAATCAGCTTAGGTCAGTTAACCTTTTTGTCCTCATGTGCCAAAATCGTGCACTCATGACAGCGTGCAAATGCATGCCCACACCCACAATGCAATGCGCCCTGCCCCCTGTGCATGTGTGCATGACCCCCTGCACTCTTCCACCACCTGCATGTGCATGTGACCCACCCTGCCCCCACGCATGCATGCGCAACCACTGCATATGCGCACGCAGAGACACAAAAATCAACTGGCCGGCATGAAGTGCACGCATGCACAATGGAGCTGAGCTGGGCGACAGCAGAGAGGGCTCTGTGTGCCAGTGGTAGCATGCATGCCATAGGCTCACCATCATGGGCTTAGCTGAGCCCACACGACATAAGGCTTACAATCTGAAACACCAAACACTACCTATTTTCAGGGAGAAATTCATTTGGCTTCCTTTTCCTAATCCATGTGTATGATACAGGCAACATTTTCACAACCTGTACTGTATTTCTGGCAATTGTAACATAAAAACAAAAACAACATTATATTCAACAAACCAATCAACACACCATAATAATTTTAACCTCCTAGTTTCCCCTTCAAAGATAAACCAATCTCATAAGAGATAAACAAAATCAAATTTGATTAGAAAAAGATAAATGGTGAAAATGTTAAATGTGTACAGTATAAATATTCATTTTAAAAAGTGGTAAATGCCATTTGCTTAAAAAAGAAAATGCAAAAGACAGCGTGATGTTCTGGGCAGATCTTAAGATGTCTGATTTTTTTTCCCTTTGAGGTAGCCTTTACATTTCTAATGAATAATTCATTTTATTGTTTCAGATCAAACTAAGTTTTGTTGGTTTCCAACCTTCCCTAATGGTTCCATTTGAGAGAAATTACCATCAAAACCTGACCTTTGTTTCTTCTAACTGCTTCATGCAAACGCCAAATCCTCCCAACACAGCTTTGGTTCTGGGCGTTGTGCTTCTATTTTGCACCATTTATGCTACGGTATTTTTGGAAGCATACTCACACCGTCTGTGCCGAAAAATTTCAGCCTCCTTTTTTCAGAACCAAGAAAACCAGAGAATCCAATACCTCTACAAAAAGCTGGTTAGAAAGCACAAGAAAAAAGAGCAACAGGAGGCATCAGTACTTTGTTGAATACTATTTTACAAAGACCAATTTGCACCATTTCTGGAATTAACAATAATTAAAGCCAATATTATATCATCAAAATTCTAAAGAAAAAAAGCAAGGGTAATATAGAAACTGGATGATACACAACCCAAAGGAGTTTGAATACACAGATTTATCATAAAATAAAAGCGTCCCATTTGAATCAAGCACAACTCTTGATGATTACATTGTTGTTAGTTGCAAAGTCGTGTCTGACCCATCGCGACCCCATGGACAAGGTTTCTCCAGGCCTTCCTGTCCTCTACCATCCTCTGGAGTCCCTTTAAGCTCACACCTACTGCTTCAGTGACTCCATCCAGCGACCTCATTCTCTGTCGTCCCATTCTTCTTTTGCCCTCAATTTTCCCCAGCATTAGGCTCTTCTCCAATGGGTCCTTCTTTCTCATTAGGTGATTACATAGAGAGGTGCCTTTATTTGTTTATAATATTTTTAGAGCTGCCTAATGTGCAACAACTCCAGGCAGGATACTTTAAAAAAAAGCCTACTACAAAAGATGAAAGATGCCAGTAACCAGAGAACCAACATAACCTGCACAGCTACCAACATAAATTGCACAACTGCTTTGCAGAACACGAACTCCAGGTAAGTCACAGCCTGAGAGGGAGAAAACATGTTTTCAAGGCCCATGTAAAGGGCAAGAAGGCAAGGCTACTTAAAAATCTGGAGAAGATGATTCCAAATGCACATTCAAAGGGAGTAGGGCCTTGATGGTGGGGTTTGCACAATCTTGATTTTATTTATATCCTTCCCTGGATATTTCTGATTTACAATATAGCTTCTGCATTATTTCCTGCCTCAGAACATTAGAAAACTGTAATATCTAAAACTTTTGGCAATTGTGGTAGCAAGTGTTACAAAATGTGCAAAAAAAGAGACTGGTGGCTATTTTCAACCCTTTGGTTTTATTGGTTAGTTAGTAATAGATATGGATACTGCCTCACTCCCAAAAGACTCTAACGTCTTAAAATACATAGCGAGAAAGCTAATAATAAAAACACATGGATCCAGAAAACAGCCACATTTATGAGAAACCAAAATCTAACATAGCCTCTGCATCAGAGGTGATATTCTACTGGTTTGGACCGGTTTGCCCAGACCGGTAGCGGAAATTGCGGGTGGCATTACCCACTCACCCCAGCTCTATGGCATCCCATTTAGGCCCTTTTTTGCCAAAAGTACATGCTCAGAACATGCGCTCACATTCGCGAACCAGTAGGGAAGGTAAGTCAATATCATTCCTGCTCTGCACCCATCCTAATCCTAGGCCTAGAAGCTCAGCCACATTCCTAAGAATGTCTGCAAGAGCTTGATGAAAGAAATGACTTTCTGGGTTCGGCTCCAAGTGGGGAAAAAGACACTGGAGACATGGAGGTTGCTTGGAAAGATGGTTTATTGGTGGACAGGACCGCATGGCTTGAGCCCCGAACAGAAATGGTGATCATATGCTTCAATGTTGGTGGAGAAAAGAGAAGGGAGGACTGAGATGCTGAGTCCCTGGTTTTATGCCCTCTCTGGCCTTTGGTTCTTGAGCTTGTATTCTGATTGGTTATCGGACTCCCATGGGGCCATGCAGGGGCAACTCTCTAGGCTGCATTTTGAATCGGTTGAGTTCTCAGATGCCATGTGGTAAGTT